GCATTTAATCCCAAACAGGTAACAGTTTGGTAACTAGTGTATCATTTATGATGGCTGGAGAAACACACAACCTGATTTGAGACAATTTTTCTCACGTTACTTTGTCAAACTCTTGAGTTACTTAAAAGCTTGAGAGCCTAGCCCAGGACACAAAAGGAGTGGAAAAGCTTATCTGACCCCAGTGATAAGGTCAGGGCACTTGTTTGCATTTTTCAAAGTGTGATGCAACCATGTGCATTCAATATCACGGCTTAGATTTCCCATAAACCTCTCCAGCATCTGAGAAGCACCACCTCTCGGGCATCTCTTGGATGAAGAGTAAACTCAGCAAAGTCTAATTATAGGCTCGTCTGACCCAGAAAATGCTACCCCCATCAATGCTTCCTATATGGTTTTCTTTGAAATCACTCAAAAAAAGCCTCCGAGTAAATAGGCACGTTTTGAAGCATTATTTTTAGAAGTCAGTGCTCCATGCACAAATAAGCATGTCCGTCTGCCTTGGGGGATGTTTTCAGATTTTCAAAACTTTAACTCGGTGAGACAAGGGAGCCTCAGGGTTTTGCTTGATTTTAGTGATTGATGACTCATTGATCTTACTGCAATCTGCAATTATTTGAGGGCTCGTGTTTCTACCCTGGGATGACTTAATTGTTCTGAGCCCATTGGAATTTATGACCTCCCCACCCAGGGCGCTGTGTGTGGTGTCTCTGTGGTGAAAACTTCCTTTGCATCACTGGACATGGCGTTTAGAGGTCAGCTTCACCTGGTTTCAACACGTGCTGGGTTTTGTTTTTTTTAATTGGGGTCTTTTTTTGGGGGGGAGATCAGGGCATTTCTAAAACAAGTGGAGTTGGAACAGTTTGGAACCCGGATCCCATTTGCATGAAAATATGGCACCTGGTGCCCACATACACTGCTGTGCATGGGGGTTACTCAGCGGGACTCACACTGGAGCAAGGCACGGACTTGTGTGGCTACACATATAATTATAAAATAAGTTTCATCACCTCCGATTACTCACAATGGGCCTGGCTCCATCCGCGAAGGCCCAAGCGCCCAGCATTGTCACAGAACGTAACTCACGAACTAGGTTACCATGAATTCCCTAACACATTAAACCCACGGGGCTGTCCCGTGACCAAGAAGAAATGAAAACCACAAGCCTGCAAAGCTGGGAACAGTGTGCGCTGCTCAATCTTGGAATCACTCCTCGCTAAGAAAATGTTCATCGGTGATCAATGAAAACACCCAAGCCCCGATAACTGCCCTTGAAACAGCTCGTCTGAGAAACTGGGAGCAAATACACTGACCACGGAAAACCACCCTGTTCTATTCCTATTACACAGGGGGCACCCAGTAGGGAGCTTTGTCTGTATTAGAGGGAGATCTAAAGAGTGAAGTCTGAAACCCTTATCCTGTAGCTAAACACCTACCAGAATTTTCTGCCTGCCTCCAAAGACCAAATCCTAAGTGGACAGATCATTCAGCATGCAGTGATTAAAAAAAAAACTCCCATCCCTGGCTGAGTCCAGATTCAACGCATTGCTGCATTGTTTGAAGGATCGCTTTCCAGAAGCCCTGGGAAGGCCTCTTCTAACAAAGTATGGAAAGCCACCATGTATATTTCCAAAGTATGGGTTTATCTCACTGAGGGACAATACAAAGGGATATATTTAACTAAAAATATACAGGGGTGCCCGGGGGGCTCAGTCTGTAAAGTGTCTGCCTTCGGCTCAGGTCATGATCTCAGGGTCTTGGGATGGAGTCCCGGGTGGGGCTCCCTGCTCAGCGGGGAGCCTGCTTCTCCCCCTGCTTGTGCTCTCTCTTTCATAAATAAAGAAAATCTTTAAAATATATATACTTATATTTTTTCATATATAAACATATGCTTATAAATATAAATTGTAATGTCCGCAAAGGCAGCTGAACGTGTCTTTTAGAATATATATATATTAGAATTTATAATAACATACATTAGAATATACATTACAGAATGTTAGAATATACTATATATGTCTAATAATATATATATATATAAAAGTTGTAAAGTCTGAAGGCAGCTGAACACCTCTTTTAGGATATACATGTTACAATTTATAATAAAATATATTAAAATATATAACAAAATATATTAGAATATATGTCACAATATAATATATAATCTACATATCATTTTATGTATATATAAGTTGTAAAGTCTGTGAAAGCACTCTTTTAGAATATAGAAAATAAGGGGCGCCTGGGTGGTTCAGATGGTTAGGCCTTCGGCTGGGGTCATGATCCCAGCGTCCTGGGATCGAGCCCCACATCGGGCTCCTGGCTTGGCGGGGAGCCTGCTTCTCCCTCTCCCTCTGCCTCTCTCCCTGCTCATGTTCTCTCTCTCTCTGTGTCTCAAATGAATAAATAAAAAATTTAAAAAAATTAAAAAGAATATAGATAAAATATTTTAGAAGAAATATTCTAGAATAGAGTAGAATATAATGTATATAATATATAATATGTACACATTGTAAAGCCTGTGAAGGTAACAGTATATTTTTTAATTTTAACTCAGTATCTATATGCTTACATATACACCCACACACATATATATGTGCACATACATTTGTATATATTTTTGTATATATGCATATATATTTGCTTGTATAATATATACACACATATGCATGCATATATACAAAATACATATGTATTCGAAATGAAGAATTCGTATGCCGGGATTGTTGTGTGTTGTTTCGCGAGTCACAGGCTGTGGTTTCTGAAGAATTTTTATGATCCTTCCAGATGAAAGCTGCTTTGTACACCAAGGTGTTGCAAAACCTGACCAAGATATTTATAGGAAGAGGTAGGTATGCGGTCGGTCTCGGGGGCCGGAGAGGAAGGAGTCGCATCAACTCTGCAACCCAGAGTTTAATTCTGAAAGTTTGTCCCTAACCCTTTTCTGCCTGGGTGCCCCTGGAAGGAAAAAGCATGTCCTAATTGACGTAGTCTTGACCACTAACGTTAGCTACCTAAGAGCATCACAGTGGCAAGGGAGACGGGGACGTGCCCCCGAGGACAGCCCTGGGTCCCCCCAATTGCTCAGCAAGGCCTGTTGGCCCGAGCGCCTCCCTGTTCCAAGCCGGTGCACGCGGCCTGCTCAGGGCACGCATTTTTTGCATTCCAGCTCAAGATTTGGCAACAAGCAAAGACAGCCAGGGGCCAGAAAGCCGCACCCCGAGCCCGCATCTGATTTCCTGGGGCCCCCTCCCAGTTGGCCAAGCCAGGCAGACGGGGCCTGGGGTCTGTAAAAATACGGCCCCCTCCCCGAATCCAAGACACCCCCCGCCCAAGAGCGGAAGGGCTAAGATGCCTCCAAACGAGGTGGGAGGCGGTATGTCCTCTCTTTGGAAGCTCAAAGTGTGGTCCGCGAGGCCGCAGCTGCGAACAGCCCTTCCCGGCCCCGCGTTTTAGCCGGATGCTCGGGGACAGGGTGGTTTATCAGGGTGGCCAGATAAAAGAGAGAACGTCCAGTTACATTACAGTTTCAGATACGCACTAGTCATCTCTTGTGTATAAAAGTATATCCAGGGCGCCTGGATGGCTCAGTTGGTTAAGCGACTGCCTTCGGCTCAGGTCATGATCTCGGAGTCCTGGGATCGAGTCCCACATCGGGCTTCCGGTTCAGCGAGGAGCCTGCTTCTCCCTCTGACCCTCTCCCCTCTCGTGCTGTTTCTCTCTCTCTCTCTAATAAATAAATAAAATCTTAAAAAAAAAAAGGTATATCCAAATACGGCCTGGGACCTACCCTGCGGGGGTAGGGGTGGGGGTGGGACTCTCCTTGGGTATCTGAAATTCAAATGGATCTGGGGCGCCCTGCATTTCTTTTCCAAAATTATGCCAGGCGTGTTTAAAACAGCGACCCATCCAGGGGCACGCGTGGCGTTTTGGTTTTTTTGGGGGGGTTCTCTCTCTTAAACCTGTGTCTCCTTGTTTTAGTTTAAAAGATGGTTCTCTGGAAATAGTCATGGATTCGTAGGAAGGTGCCCAGAAACTGGAGGGAAGGGGGAGCCCGGCGCACTCGCGCGCCCGCCCTCCCGCCCCCCCGCCCCTCCTCCCTTAGCAAGCATTTTGCATCACCATGGTCCCCCCGAGAAACCAGGAAGCTGACACGGGCCGGGTTTTTATTCGCTAGACCCGGCAGCCGCCCTCGGGAACGCGCGGGCACCGAGTAGCAGCCTCCCGAGCGTCCCATTAGCCTTCAGCTCCGGTTCAGTTTGATTTTTTAACTTTTGTTGGAACCACGCCCTCCCCGTGCCCAGCGCGCCCCGCCTCCCACCCTTCCCGGCTGGGGCGCAAGGAGCGCGGTGCCCGGCCCGCGCGTCCCCCGGGGAAGCTGGGCTGGGCTGGGGACCCCACCCCCGGGCGCCCCCGGCGGCGCAGGGGGCGCGGCCACCTCCCCAACGCCGCCCGCCCCCGCGCGCCTGCCTCTCGGATCCGGGCCTGGGGCGCGGCGGGGGCGGGGCGCGGGG